GCCTTTGGTGCCAAATCTGTCTCCCCCTCCACTCCTTGGTTCCTGCTTCCTCTCCTCTTCTCCTCCCCTTTTGCCTCCCTCCCTCCCCTCCTCCTCCCCTCCCCTCCCTTCTCCCCCCTCCTCCCTTCTCCCCCTCCTCCCTCCTCCCAAGTCTTGACTGCAACGTCCTTGCAGAATCAGAAGTAAGGAGGTCTACCGCACTTGCAACACCCTCCTCCTCGCCTCGTCAGCGCTTGTACAGTCCTCGGATACTGATCCTCAAGTACCTCCCGAGTCCGTGCAGTTTACGGGGCCGCTCAGTGCGGCGATGCCGGGTTGCAGTCGGCAGCAGCTACTGACGGTCAAGTGACGACCAAGACTTGTAACATAAAGCCGCAAGAAGCGACTCCCGAGAGTCTCACGGCCTGAAACTTCAGACTGGCCGCGCGTCACCGGATGAAGTTCGGACTCAGTTGCACGGTGAGCAGGCAACGAAGGCAAGTTGGCCACTGCCGAGACTCAAGTTGACCCTCACTGAGTGAGAGCCCGGCCTTTCGGCTGACCGGCGTGAGCCGCCGGCCCGGCTCGCCCAGGCACGGTGCCGTGACGCCGGCCGCGTACGGTCACTGCCACGTTCCGATCACCGGGAGCCGGATCAAGTTCGGAGTGACTCCGAGCCTCCGACACCCGGTGGCACCCAGTCACTCGGACCGTCACGCCGAGTCACTCAGCCGGGGTCCCGGCGGGGCGAGTCCCGCGCGGGCGGCGTCGGGCCGCTGATAATCCGACCGGCCCGTGAAGGCCGGCTCGCCAAATGAGATCCGATCAGTGCTGCGGCACGCGTAATCGGCCCTGAGCGGCGCGGCCTCGGCGGAGTCACGAGTCACTGAGTCACAGTCACGCGGCGCCCCCCCCCCCCCGGGGCGCGGCGGCGCGGTCCCTGTCAATTGGCAACTCAAGTTCACAAGAGTCGGTCTTCCCGAGCCCGGGGGCCCGGCCCGGCGGGCCGGGTCCCGGCCGGCCCGGGAAGTCACCAAGTTTTGCTGTGAGTCCTACCGGTCACCGGGTGGCACTTATTAGGAGGCTACTATCACCTCTCAGATACCACCCACCCTACTCGTTTATTTCATTCGGAAAGGTAACCCCCCTTGCATCGATTACCCCCTGCTTTAGCCTTTTTTCTGGGGATGTACCCCTAGATCTACCCTGTGCTTCCCTGCATCATCAACCCCGATCTGAATACCACCCTACCTTTGATGTCAACCTTTATCACCCCACCCTCAGTGTCAAACTTTTCCACCCCACCCCTACTTTCTCCTACACTACAGCAACCAACCAGAGCGGAACTCAGACTACCCCTACCTTCAAAGGAGTTGTTAGGGGTAAACCACATTTTTAACGGGTCTGGCTGACAGTGGAGGGTCCTTATCAGAACCACCCCTTTTGAATGGGGTACTTGTCGTGTGAATGGGGGGTACCTTTCTGGGTAACTAGCTACAACACCTAAAGGCACCTTGCAGTACCCTCCCTGTTTATGGGTGCAGTTAGGGGGTGGGGTACTTCGTAGTATGAAGACCCGAAGGGTGGGTAGGTTATGTTATCCGAACAGTGAAGGCGGTACAAGCTACAGGAGGGGTGTGGGTAAGTTACGATATGTGTATACGGGTGGGGGTACTTACCGGGAGACAAAAGGGTGGGTGATTTAGTGATGAAAGCCAGGGTATCAGTTAAAGAGGGGGTGGGGTAGGGGTTCAGGAAGAAGTCAGTACCCTAAACTAAAAAGACAATATAAGTTGTTGAAAGTGAATCCAAATAATAATATTTTTGTTTCGACAATTCGGTAGAAAAATTATGCTTGTACTTCGGTCAAGTACAACAGTTGTAGTGAGTTTAAAATATATATATATTAATTTAAATAAGCTTGGTTTTTTAAAATCGGGATGAGGTTATCTTTAGGAATTAACATCAATACAGTACAAGATAAAATATTTAAAACACGTGAACCAAGGTTTTAGACGTTTAAGAGTTTTAGCGTCACATTCGGGCTGCTAAAACTCGTTTTTTAAAAAAGGCTCAGCCGCAAATGCCGGCTTTCCCGCATGTGCCTGGTGGCTAGCAAGCAAGCGCATGGCCGACACAAGAGGCCTCCTCCTCCTCCTCCCAACCTTCCCTACTTGTCCTCCTTGTCTCTAATATTCTCTATCTCGCTGCCGTCTCCTTCCTCCTCCTCCTCACCTGCACCTTGTGCCTCCTTACTAGGCTTTCAGTCCGCACACGTCTCCTTTTTATGCCCCATCCCTTGTTGATCATCCGTTACTAGTCTCGGTCTCATACTCCTTATCCTACATTCTCTCTTGGTCATAGAGAAATTCCCTTCTTTGCTTCTTCTCTTGAACACCGTCTCTTGTCATTGCATGTTCATGCTGTCAGAGCCAATATCACACAGAGCCTGTTGGGAGTGACCTCTTTACCTTTCCTGCTCCTCATAACCTTTGGAAAGTTCTCTCAGAATATATCCCATGTTGTTTTCCTCTTTGATGTCCTTCCAACCTTGGTCTCTTCCTTCTTACCCCTCAATGGCACACATGAATCCATTTTTGGAATCAGTCGTCTCGTCCGTCACCTACCCCCCATCCCACCCCCCTTTTCTCCCCGAAACCACTTGGGACAAAGCAAAAATGCAGAATGTTTAGCGATACCATGCACTACACTCTCCTTGCAGCTATCTTCGCGTTGTCTTGTTATTTGTGGAGGGATTTTTGTCTTTGCCTGTTGGTGCAACCTATTTTTGCCGGCTGTGTATCACAGCGTCTCCTGTACTTTGTGCATGTCTATCTTCATCATCACTTTGTAAAGGGTGTTTTAAAGGGTGGTTTTTCCCCAAAATATTGGGGAGACTCCCTTGATTGAGAAACGAAAGATCATTGAAAATAAATGCATGCCATTCACGCCTGTTGTTGTTCAGGCATCGTCGGCAGATTCATTAGTAGCTAGCAATCGATGGCGTAAAGGAATTAGTGCTGGATTGCAATCGACACCTTCAGTGAGCATCAGAATACGCTTCGACAAGCGAAGAAGTGCAATGTCAGGAAACGGCTCAGTGCAAGGTCCAGGAAAGCACTACGTCCTCCCAAAGCTGCACAGGAGCCCATCCCAGCAGGTATCGTTTACTATTCGCAAGGGCGTGCATGATGGTTTCTTCTCAAAGAACTCTGAAGAGCAGTCACGGAAGACTATTCGCATCTCAGACCTTCAGGTTGACTCCCCTCAAAGATTCAGTGTTGTTGACATCTCTTCAAGGACTCGGAAGAAGAAAACGACAGTCGCAGGTACCATGCTGCTTCATCGCCTTTTTGCATGTTTTAGTGATGCAAGACATGACTTTGTCTTTTTCTTTCCCAATCCTCATTCTCCTCTTTCCCTTGCGCTCGCACAGCCCCGACATCAAGTCGGCCATCAGTCAGCTCGAGAAATCCGTCAGGATCTCGGACGATAGTCATCGATCACCTCCCAGTGGCTCACAGGTATACTTGGTGTACACTCAAGGAAACATGCTCCGTCTTACTCTAGTGGGTCATGGCAGTCGGGTTCTCAGCCTCAGTCTCAATCAAATTCCCTCCCTGGTTCCCTCCCCGGCTCCCACCAGAATTCAGGATACAACACACCCAATGGTATTTGAGCTTGTTTTTGCCTCTGAGGAGATAGCAGCTCGAAACTGCTATGAAATAACTTGAAAGCCTGCAGTCTATTCAAGGCCAATGTCACCGCCGATCGCCCCCTCTCCCATCTCCGCGTCTGCTGGAGGATCGGGTTCGGTTTGCTCGTATTTGAGTTCTCACCCTGACACGTAGAGGACAGCCGCACCCACTCGGCCTGTCAGTGCTGGACCGAGTGAAAACCAGTCTGCAACGGTGAAGATCCCCTGACGCACGTCGTGCATCGTTGTTCATATGCTAAGGCAGGCATCCCCCACTAGCAAGCAACCGTCGAGCTCTGAACGCGAGCTGCATGCTCGCGTGAAGCAGGTGTGTTGATCTTCGCTCCCTGCAAAGTGAAGCTGAGACGGATGGGATTAGGCTGCAGTGCAACGAGCTAGGGATCTGACCAATGAAGGGTTCCGGTAAAGATTGATGGCTGAGATGTGATGGGCGATGGGATTGACTGGATTCATTGCTAGGGCCCTCAACAAGGAAAAGTATGCCGAGGTAAGGCTTTTCTTCATTAGGCTCGTCAGCATGACTTTGTCATTCTAGGCTCGTGATGCATTTGCCAATGCAGAACATGTATTTCGAGACCTCAATGACCTGGTGAGTTGTGGTGGAAACAAGTTCCATTGGTAAGTTGTTTTCCAATAGGAAAGTGCAGAAGAAGTTGCAAAACACAAGCTCAATGTATTCTAGAATTTGTTCTCTGTTATTATCACAAATGTGTGTAGGCCGAAGCCAAGATCCCTTCTACTCCCACCCCACCTGCCGGGACCAATGGAAATGCCAACAATGGGATCACATCAAATGCAGGCACTTCACAGGTAGTCCTAAACCCAATCGAATGTTGTCTTTTCGCGTTTGCTAACTTGAAACTTGACAGAATGGAACAAAGGTGTTGCTGTTTTGACATGCGTGCTGTGAACGGCATGCTGAGAGCGCTGGTCTGACAGAAATCAACGCCTGAACCCAACTCTGATTCGTCAAACAACGGAACACCAACGTCTTCCACGAACGGCACCCCGAAAGGGTCCAATCAGAATCAGGTAAACATGTAGGCACGCTGTATCTCACTTCTCACAACTGGGAGCAGAGCGATTCTCCAGTGCAACCAGATAGTTCAATTCAACCTGTCACGATGCAGCAGCAAAATGTTGCGCAAAATGTTGGAGCCCAGGTCGTGTCTTGCGGTTGTACTGCTGGAGTGCTGACAGGGAAATAGTTGAAATGTGGGGTGGGCATTTCATTTGCAAAGAATGATTCTGGTCAGCGCCTCTAGTTGTAAGCATTTATTGGTGAAAGTGGTTATCAGGGGAGAGCAAGATTACATCCATTCGACAGAACAGCCCTGCTGACCTCTGTGGTCAACTTCAGGTGGCCCCCCCCCCAACGCAGCCGTGACGTGTTTGACAAGTGCTATCTCTCGGTAGATTGGAGACACGATTTTGAAAATCGACGGAAAGTCGGTTTATGACAAGTCTGTGGAGGTAAGGACAATCGATCCTCAAGCTCTTTCGTGCCCTTATAGCTCACACCTTCCTCCCAGGAAATCATCGAGTTAGTGCTGGGACCGCCGAACACCAGCGTTCAGGTTTTGCCCTGCCGATGATGTTTTGCGCTGGAGTGGGATAGGACGAGTAGGAGCTGATCGCCGGATACCACAGATCACCATTCAAACGCAATACGGCTTCCCTCATGTCATGACGGCGCCATTCCAAGTAATGGACCAGTGGGCGAATCTTGTGCCTGATAGGGTCTGATACAGGAGCTCCCTTTCGACCTGAAGAAGGACAAGAGGCGGCGGAAGGAAACCTCGAAATCGAACACCGCCAACGATTTGTGAGTGCCATGGCTCCTCCTCTTTCAAGAAGACAAGGGTACTGACTTTTGGCCTCCAGTTTGCGGCCAGAAAACAGGTTCAGAGGGAGCAGGGTCAGGGTTTGGCGTGACTTGACGTGTCAGGTTGTACGGAGGTGGGAGGCTCCCCCCGGGTTTCGAGCACCTCGAGTCCTTGAGATCAGCGCAACCTTATACAACTCCTTCTCTCAGCGTTCGAACTGTGAATTTGTCGGTGCGTGTCGCCTGCCTTTCATTGTTCTCCTACATTGCAACGCCCTCTTCCTCTCCTACTAACCCGAATCGCTCCTCTCCTCCTCTCCTCGTCCCCCATCCCTCTTTCTCTGCTCTATCCCCATTGCGCTTTGCTCTCTTCTCGTCTCCAAACCCGCAACCCTAGCCCCGGCTCTCTCCCTTCTCTCTTCATCCTCCGTCTGCTTTCCTTCCGCCTCTCTCTTACTCCTCGAGCTCTCTTGTGACTGCTACTCGCAGCGGCAACTCCCCCTCAAGCAAAACTCAGAAGCCTCGCTGGACTTGAGACAGGCCCTGACGCAGGAGCAGCGGCCAGCTGAAGAAAGGCGGGTGTCAGTGGGCGAGTGACATGGGAGGGGGAGGAAGCGAATTGGATGTCTGTCTTATGTCAACATGTCTAGAGTTGCCAAGTCTCATTACAAGAGTCTGTAGGTCACGGTGGTTTGCAGCCCTTGAACATGCAGGCGCTGAAAGCAGAGACGATGAGAAGGATAACGAAGCAAGAAGGAGAGGAGACAAGGGAATTTTGCAGGAGATATACAAGGGGAGGAAGAGGAGGGAAGGTAGAGGAGGTAGAGGGAGAGGAGGAAGCAGGTAGACTTACGTTCCGCTGAGCGTTGCGAGCTCGCGGATGAGCTTGTTGATGACGCCAGCGCCAGGCTCTGAGCCCAGCGCGTTCTTGACCTGCTGAGTCTTCAGCTGACGGTCAAAGAGGTCAAAAGTGTGACCGTCTCTACTAGGACAGATTTGTCCTGCACGGCATTCTGACGGAACAGCTGCAGGACTGAGAGTGACAGTGAGGAAAGCGAAAGGGAGGGGAAAGATGCCGACCAGCATTCCTCGCGACGTCGTCTGAGTTCTTGAGTACGTGTAGACCCTGCTCGAGTTTAAGTGAAGGACAGGGAGAGAAGAAGAGGAAAAGGAGGAGGCAGAGAGGAAGATGAGACAACAACATGCAAGGGAGGAAGCTTGTTAGGGAGGAGATGAATGCTTCACCTGAACAATCTCCGTCTGCTCTGCGATTATCTCATCGAAGTAGCTGGAGTCTGAAGCGAGTGAGGATGACGGGGAATCGTAGAGGATGCGATTACCAGCTGAGGCTGCGACCTGAGAAACAGCTGTGGAGGGATGGTCTGCGAGCTTGGCACGAAGATCATCGCGGGAGAGAACGCCTGCCGACTTGAGCGTCTGAGCGATCGCAGAACGGATCTGCATCGTCCTCTTAGTCACTCCTTCCTCTCCTTCCCTTCCTTCCCTTCCTCCTCTCCTTCCTCCCCTCCTTCTTCCTCTACTTCCCCTCCTCCTCCAACGGACCTGTCGAGCTTCCTGCGGTGTCATCCCAGCTGCAGACGGCGGAGGTCGAGCAGCCTCGTCTGCCTTGTCTGCTGGCTTGCTCTTTGCGGCCTCTCCCTCTCCTGCCGGCTTGTGCTGGGGCTCGTGGTGGGGCTGGGAGCTGCTACTCTTCCTGGAGGAAGAACGAGCGACTGCTGCCTTGTGAGGGTGTGTGAGGGCTGCCAGATGCGATTCCATCTCATCCCATTTCTCCTCCTGCATCTGTTGGACAGCCGTCAGCCCCCTGCCTGCCCTCCTACCCCCGTGCTCTCAGATCTCTGCTCCTTTCCCCTTCCCGATCCTCGTCAAGTCGACGCTCTTCTCCTGGAAGGGCCGCACTCTCTCCCTCCCCCCCACCTTGTGAATATCCGGAAACCTCCGCGGGAACTCGCGGTCAGGCTGAAGTCGAAACTCCCAGCAGCCCTCCCGGCGAACAGCAATCTGCCAGCAGCTCAACCCGAGCAGGGGATCAGCTGGAGTTGACTTGGAACATCATCGACTCCAGCTGGGCGCTAGAGACTTCGCGGGTAAAGTCACGACGGAAGTCGGACGCGTGGACGCGAGCAGACTGACGGAAGCGAGAGAGGATGTGATACCTGAGAGAGGAGAATCAACCCCCTCCCCTCCCTCCCCTGCCTCCCCTCCCCTCCTTCCCTCCCTCCCTCCCTCTCCTCCCCTCCCCTGCCTGCCTGCCGAGCACCTCTGCTCCCTCCCCTCTGCTCTTCCCCCCTCTCCTCTCGTCGTGAGCTCACCGGCACCGTCGGAGCTTCTCGACATGCTCCTGCTGCTTCGGGTCGTCACGGTAGAGCAGCTCGCTCCTGACAACCCAGCAGCCCTGCGAGAGGAAAGTGAGGAGGAGAGGAGGAGGAGAGAATTGAAAGGAAGCAGTTAGGCGGTGAAGAATAAAGAAGAGGCTGATGGGAGAGAGAGGGAGAAAAGGAGGGAAGGAGGAGGGGGAGCACGAGGAGGGGGAGGAAGGGAGAGGAAGGGAGGAGGAGAGGAGACGGGAAGAGGATCGAAGAGGAAGGGGACCTGGAGGAGGACGGCGTTCTTCTGCAATTCACGCAAGAGATCGTCTTCCTGTGAAACAAATTTTAGACAGTGAGGAAGAAAAGAGGAAGGGGAGGAAGGGGAGGGAAAAGAGGAGGTGGAAGGGAAGAGGAGGAAAGGGAGGGGAGGGGAGAGGAGAGGAGAGGAGGAGGAGAGGAGAAGGAGAGAAGAAGGAGAGGAGAGGAGAGGAGAGCGGGATGGAGAGGGGGAAATGAGGAGCAATTCGGACTTTGTTCATGCTAGAAGGCATCAGTTCGATAAGTCTCTCTAATGTGAGGACCTGATTCATCCAACGTCAAGTTACATCCAATCCTCCTCTCTCCTCCCCCCTCTCCTCCCCCCTCTCCTCCTCTGCTCGCCTCCAAATCTCCTCTCCCATCAGCCCTATGCCTTGTTTTGTCCTTCCTGCTCCTTCCCTCTGCTCTTCATCCTCCGCTCCTCTCCTCCCCTCCCCTCTCGTCTCCTTCTCTTACATGCGCCGCACTCATCAGTGCCTGAACTTGTTGAGGGAGGGACATGCGCAGAAGCTGCTCCCTTGACAAGTCGGTGATCTGCCTCGACGTTAGAGGAGCGTCAGGTTTCAAGTCTGCGTGCCTCCCTGCCTTCCCTCCCTCCCTCCCTCCCTCCTGCCTCCCTGCCTGCCTGCCTCCCCTCCCTCCCTCCCTCGCTCTCTCCTGCCTCCCTCCCTCCCTCCTCTTCCCCTCCCTCCCTCCCTCCTCTTCCCCTCCCTCCCTCTCTCCTCTTCTCCTCCCTCCCTCCCTCCTCTTCCCCTCCCTCCCCTCCGTCTCGCTTTTCACCTGCGCTGGGACTCCGTCGTCTCTCGTCTTGGATATCGCGTTCAGCGAGTTGAGGTAGTCCTCCTTGTTGACCTGCGACATGCGCCGTCAAGAGCAACCATGAAGGTGGTGGAGGTAGAGGAGGAGTAGCACAAGGCAGGAGGGATGAAGAGGACAAGAAGGAGGGGGATGAGGGAGAGGATGGAGGATAGTGCAGGATTATAAGAGGAGGAAGGAGGAGAAGGAGGGGAGGGAGGGAGA